AGTGTGACAGCTGACGCTGACTGAAGGGACAGAAACCTGTGAGTTTCAGCATCAAGAAGCAACTTTTTTGTGGGAAATTATGAAGAAACGTGGAGCAGTGATTTAAAAAAAAAAAAAAAAAACAAAAATCCATTTGACAGCTGACTAAGGTGAGAGAAGAACTTTTGGTGTTTTATGTCGTGCAACCTAATATGACAAAGTTTTCAAACTTGTTTTTTCTTGACCTGCACCTGAATAAGACTGTGTCACCGCAACATAAGTTCAGAAAACTCAAATTTACACCTCTGTATATCTGCACAAATAATGCATCATTAGGTGCATAGGACTTGATGGAGAGCATAGTTGGTGATTTAACACCCTAATATGTTGTAGTTGTTACAGGTTAATGACATTGTCCAGCATCTGAAAAACATCTGTTCCATTGCTGTAAAGTCACCACAGGATTTACTGCTGGGTCACTGTGGGCCTCATTCTGACCTTTTCTTGCTGACAACCGGGTTTGAACATCTTGTGAAATATTTTTTAGGGCGATTAGGTTAAAGACAAGAGTTCAACATCTTGATTTACTGCAATGTAATTTATTGGAGCAGAGTGCTTTATAGTATGAAAAGGTCAACAATGCACATTTATGGAACTCATCCGCAGAAAATTGCTGGCTTTGTGTTTGGCGGTTCTGGGTGGAGTATCTTGCCTTTAATTTACCAGGAAAAACTGGGTTAATGTTGCACATGGATGACTGAGCCGATAATTGGTATGTTTGCTATGTATATGACAGAAATGGATGGTGCTTTCGATAGTGTTAACCTAACCCCTGCTTTGAAGTTTTAGAGCGTTGTTTAAATCAGCCTTGTTGAGCTTTTATTGGCAATAATATAAAAAAGACCCTTAGTTTTTTTTTTTTATTTTGTTAATGGGTTTTTAATTGTTATTGAACATGCTAATACACCAAGTCAGTGAGTCTACATGTGTCAGACATTAACTTGTGACTTCTTTAACAAACTTTTGTAGGCAGATTTCATACACATTACACCACCAGCATTTATGCTCCTTGATGCCTGCTCTGTTCAATATTATCGATTCAGATCTCCATTTTCAAATTAGCTGTCCAGGCAGCAGATACCACACGCACTGCTTCCCTCTGACCTGGCCAGATAATCGGATGCTCAGTTGGGGGCAAATTTTAGGAACGCCGACGACGCATGACTAGATAATTGTTTCCTTTCTTTGCTGAGTGAATCTCCAGTTCTCTCCTCTCTCTCTCTCTCTCTCTCTCTCCTCTCTCTTCTCTTTCTCTTTCTCTAAGATTCACCACACTGACAACTCTCTGGCTCTGTGCATTTTTCTATGAGTAACTGAACCCAAAGAAGCTGCGGGTGGAGCTGCTGCAGAGTCTCTCCTTCAGCTTTCACCAGCAAAACTCTCACCGTTTACAAAGTTGCAGTTTATCAAATCGATCATTGTGGATTTCACTCTGATTAAAAAACTATGGCTTTTGCCTCCCACTCACAACAATCAGGAAAATCGTTGATGCAAACAAGACATGTAATTTCACCAGTTCCCCGTGATTTCAGCTTCTTTTTTTTTAGCCCAAGTACAATATGAAGCTGTGTCAATGATTACTAAAACATAAATTTACATTCTGATCAGCCAAAAGGTAAGAGCTACCTTTCCTTATTCATTGGTTTAAAATTTGCTGCTACTGCATGGAAGTTGAGCACACATATTAAAGCTTATTAATTAGATTTTTTTTTTTTGGCACTTGGGGCAGCGGAGCAAAGTGTAAATCACAACTTCTGACATATTATTACTTCAGTTGATATGGTGAAATGTTGGCCAACAGTTGCCTCTTTGCACTACCCAGCAGATAAGAAACAACATTATCATTCATCTGGAGTCATGTTAGTCATCACTGGATAAGATGTAAGTCCAAAGTATTCACTTACTTCCTTTTTTAACCTTTGTTTTGTTTTCACAAAAAAATCTCATAGCAGGAAATATCAGGTTTCAGTAGCTAAAACTAGCTGCTAGCATCAAATAGCTATTTCAGTGCCGGGGCTCTTACGTTGAATTTATAAGAGCTTCTTTGTTTGAAAAGAGTTGCCTGCGGCTGCCTAGGAAATGGGAGATGCAAGCGTTGGAGAGTGAACCAGAACACGTAAAGTTGTGCGGCTGTTAAACAAAACAGTGAGCGCAAAGATCCTAACCACTCTCACAAGGTTGGGACTGCACATTCGGCATGCGTCAATTCTCCCATTTTTATTATAAAATCATAAAATAATGTCCCTAATATTGTCATGTTTTCAATTTTGTTCAGACCTGGATTTCAACTTTAGGAGGTCCATGAGATCCCAAAATAAGTACCTGACACCTTGAAACACCCTTGAGTGTCAAATAGTTAATTAATGAGGACGTAGATAGATAGATACAGTAGATAGATAGATACAGTAGATAGATAGATAGATAGATAGATAGATAGATAGATAGATAGATACTTTATTTATCCCCTAGGGGAAATTCGTGTTATGACAACCACTTTTGTCTTTTAGTGGAGCTTTGGATTCTTCTGGCTTGTTTGTCACACTGGCTCTTGAACTGTTTGGAAGTTATTGTATGGAGCTCCAAGAACGGGACAGCCCCCAGTCATTGGAGGGTGAAGAAAGTAGAAATCCACTTCCCAAAAAGGTTCAGTAAATTTAAATCAGATTAAAGAGAAGGCCCCAAAGCGGAATCCAGCGCAACGAGTAGAACAGCTTGATATTGAGCTGTTTGACATTAGGAGCCTTTCTTTGGTACTTTAATCAGGTGGAAATGCGGGATGACCTATGAAAAAGACAGAAACTACTCATGTAAGACAGTGTCAATTTTTTTTCCGGCTGGCTGGTTCAATGCTTCTACAAGGTTAGACATGGGAATTACTTGGGTTTGGATATACAGTTGCTTATGAAGGCAGTAGTTTGAGTGAAATAGCCCTTTAAATCAGATACCTATTACCTTTTACCTTTCAAGATGTTGTGAAACTGAATTCTTTTTCTTTCGTTAAATTTCATGCTGCGTGTTCTATTATTTTATCTCTTCTGATGTAGAGAAGCGATGAGCAGACGGAGGTGACTCTTTGCTCGTAAAGTGGCTGCTTTTCCTTTCCACCGTCCTCTCATGGCACTGAGTAACAGGGGACAACTGAGTGTGTGATAAGAGCGTTATATCCCACCACACTCAAGTGTAATTTAGAAGATAACTCAGGCTTCAATGAAGGCACCCACACATTGCCTGTAGACACAGACCGCACACGACACGCGTACACAGTAGGAGGGTTTAGTGGATCTGCCTAGCAGCCCTAATGCTTCCTGCCTAGCTTCAGTTCTACAATGTCAACCTAACCCCTCTAGCCCCTCTGTAATGACAAAAGGTCCAGAACTGCAGCACTTTTTAACGACCTATTGTCAAACACTCACAGGATCCGCCACCGGGGCTTGTGGCGAGTTTAACACCCACAGACTCCTGCACTTACAGCAGATTAAATTTTATCCTCAGAGATGTCCACATCTTACCGCGGACATCTCTGTCATGAGTCTTATCTATTTGTTCTGTGGTTCCCTTTTGCTTTATCATTATTTGGTTTGCATCATGCTGTAGCGTGGGAAACCTGTGCAAACTTTTGAAGAGCAACGTCGCTCGACTCGCGTAGTAAATAGTGCGGTTGTGTGGCCACGAGAGGTGATGTGAAAAAAGCTGTGAAGCTTGTTTCATTAAAAGGGAGAAACCTGATTGCCGATTCATTACCATCTTTAAATTCCTTCACGGATAAAAGTGAAACATTCAACCTAGCCTTCAAATATAAAAATTGACCACTATACCATGAAGCTGTAGCTCGCAGGGACTCAGCAATGGCGCTGCCACCTGCCTTGGATGACATTGTCCCCAGGCCCTTCACCCCCTGTGTTTTTAAAAGTGGAATTCACTCCTCATGATGATAAGTGGCTTCTGAGACACTTTGCTCTCCCAGGAAATCTTTTTCATTAGACTTTATGTTCCCATTTGCCCCCTGGTTGACGCCAAGGAGGACTTGTGACTCCTTTGCCATTAACTATATCTGTCAAAGGCCGCTTCAATTCTTCATGTTGTGTTGTTAAAATAGTTGAGATGCATATATCACAGCTGCTTAAGATTCAGTCTACAGATTCTGGAGGCAAGGTGCTTTTATGAGTCAGATGTTAGCAAAACTGTTGACTGACACTGGATTTCTGCCGTACCGGTACCAATTTCATTTATATGATATGAATATATCGATATATATTAAAACATTAATTCTTTAAATTTGTTTCTTCTTTTTTTTTTTTTTTTTTGATAATTCACCAATTGTAAGGTTATCACTTTGTCGATTCACACAGTTTTTCAATGCCTGCTACCTGAAATGGTTAATGAGAAATCCAGTTCATATGTATCTTTTATTATCAGATAAATGTTCCATCCTTAGGACTTATTTAAGCTCAGTGTCATATACGGATATATGCACTGACGGTTACATTGTTTGAAGAGCACAGATCTATTTCCGTACGTAGTACAGGGAGCATGAATAGCCTTTAGTGAAATCAACCAGTTTCCACACGAGTAATTAGCATAGCACATTCAATGTCATTACATTCTCATGACTGGGAAACCTGAAGGATAACCTTGTGTCGACCACAAAAGGTCCAGGATTCATTCAACCACAGGCATAATTTTAATCCCAAAATTTAGATCAGCGACAAATAACTGGTTGAGTTCAGTGGCATCATTCCTAACAGGAATAATGGCCCAAAAATAAGATGCAGGTTGCAATCAAACTGGATTGTGTCTTTAAAAACAAGCTGAGCATGAAGAGAGAGATGTTGTATGATATAATGTGTTGCATTTTTAAGTTTTTACCTGATAAGAAGGAGCTTACAAGAGTGGCACTGGAAGACACACGTTCAAGAGGCTGAAAATGTCCCTCTCCATCACGCCGGTTCTGTTTTTTTCAGGGTGTCTCTGATGTGGTCGTGGGGTGATGGGCCTGTCAAAGCGAGTGTCGTCGTGGACGGTGGAGGAAGTGTTGGAGTGGGTGCAGGAGCAGTATCCAACCCAGATGGGCACCCTCCAGAAAGCCATCATTAAACACGCCATATCAGGTACAGCTCATGCTTTAAATTCAGCTTGTTTCACTGGTACGAGACGATAACTTTTGTCTGCAGTTTGTATATAGAATTTATTTTTTAAAGTTTTGTTGAAGTGAATGTTGAAAATTCAGCCCTGAATGTACTATGGTTTTAGTTTAGTTTACTTTGAGTACTCCTGACTTACGCTCGACACACACACTGTGCTTGTGAATGAATTTGCAGGCCGTGCATTGCTGAGATTAAAGGATCATCACCTGGAGCTTCTCGGGGTGGAAGCTGAGGAGCAGCAGCAGGAAATCTTGCAGGACCTCCTCCTCCTCAGAGTTCAGGAGGAAATCAATGAACTCAGTGACATCTGCTCTGGTGAGAATGCCAAATGACTCTATCTTCAGGCTGGAGCTGAGATACAAACTAATACAGCCGTAGTCAGAAAGTTTTTTTTTTTTTTTTTTTTTTTGACAACTCTGCACTCTGAAAGCAACTCTGCATAGTAAGTGCAGGTAGTTTTCATTGGTGTTGGTGTGGACCGACATTTCCATGTATGAGTATGCACAGGTATTCACAAGAAACCATGCAGCAGGTTTCTTCCCCTCGGAGTCAAAACACATTTTATTTTCAATCAAACTCATGCTTATAGTTTTAAAAAAAAAACAAACATGTCACCAAATCCACCAAAACAGTCAAACATTTAATTATTGTGTAGCTTTTGTGTTCAAGAAGAGAAACTGGCTTTCAAACTTGTGTTTTATTTGTGCTCTTTTCTCCTCTCCAGACTGTTTTGCTCCATAGCAGAGAATAAATCTCCAGAGGAATTGAAGCTTACTTTTTTTTTTTTATTTATTATTTCCCTTCCATCCATTCATCTGTTTGAAGGAGAGAGAAATGTGGGAGTGACAGAAAACACGGAGAGAAGGTGAAGAGAAAGAAGAATCGATGAGGAATGACGAGAAAGAAACCTATTTCCTGTATGAAATCTGATCTGCGCGGACGGATGAGATTAGTTTCTGTCTGTCTTTTTCTGAGCCTCACTGTCCATTAGTCTCTGTCTTTTTTCTCTCTATAGTGGGTTTTTATTCCAATGTAGTATTATAAAATATTGTATTTGATGCACTGAATATTGAGAGTCCATTAGTCCCCTTATAGTTGTTAACTACTCAGAATAACAGCTTCTATTGCATTGCCGACAACAGATAATGCTGTGATCACATTTTTTTCATGCCAATCTCAAAATATCAGGAGAATTAGTGGTCAGTTATGTAACCTATGACACCTACTAGTTAAACAAGGTCAAACCTAAATCAGACACTTCTACTAAACTGTGGAAGGGATAATTAGTTAAATGAAATCAAAACAAGGTCTGAAAATAACCAGAAAAGGTTTGTAGAAGTAGTAGGTTGTGACCTCACATGTATCCTGAGTGATAGTTCCTCTCCTGCAGCAGTAATTTAACTCTCAGGAAAACAGGGGGGATTACAGGAAGACGCAGAAAGACAAAGGGAAAGTGGTGAGTTTTCCCCTTTAAACATTTCAGTGTGTCAAGATAAGAAAAGCTGAATCCAAACAGTAACTTTCTGCTACTGTCTGTCTGCTCTTCGCTCACACAATCCAAGCTGCTGGTTTAAATCTGCTGTTTTTATTTGTCTCTGTATTTTTGACTGATGAGCCACAAACAATGTGTTATTTTTTGTGACGTGAATACTTAACAGAGCTGCAGAAAATCCACTGATGTTGTCTGGGTTTGATGCCATTTTTTTATGCTCTTGCTGTTGACAGCATTTTGGGTTTTCGGGTTGTCCATCTGTCAGTCTGTCCGTCCGCCCACTCTCATGTCCTACAATGGTACAAACGTTCAATTGAACTCAACGATGAACGGATTAGATTTTGGCGGCCAAACGTCAAGGTTACTGTGACCTGAACTTGGCCGTAATGCAAGAATTCATATACTAATTTTGATAAAATACACTTAATACCTTTTATTAAATTCCTTCACAGTCCTCACTACATATATTACATGAGTCTGGACAAACATATAAACTGCAACAAGGCTGTAATTCTAGCTTGATATGTTCTGGTTGATACAAGTGGTCCTACAATTTTCTGACACTCTTTTTTCAAAAATATAATTCCCTGTTTCCTTTATTTATGATGTTGGCCTCCTTTTTGTGTGAACTATAGCATCAATGTTACTGCATCTGTATTACATAAAAGGTCATGTCTATTTCTGAGCATTTTGTCATGGCACTGCTACAGTATGGTCAGCTGAATTAAAAGTGCTGCTTTGGCAACACCACCCCGTCTGCAGTTTTCTTTCTTCTTTTTTCTTTTTAAGTCATCCGTCTCGTTGGCAGACAGACTCCAACTTGTTCTACGTCAGTGTAATCATCAGTCATTTGTTTGTCATCTTTCTGCTTTTACAGCTGCAGCCTCTCATACATACAGTATTCAGTATTTCCTCTGCGACCCTCTCCCCATCTGGCTGGAGGAGTGTCGGAGGTAGACCACTGTGAAAGATCTAGGACTCCTAAAACTAAAGGTCATAATAATAAAAACACTAATGCATACTTGTGCGCAGCCCAGATCAGCATGTCACAGACTGCAGGCTACAGCAAGTGTAATGTTGATGAACTACGCAATAAAAATGTAATCAAACTGCATCACATCCATGGCATCAGCCGTATATCAGCCTGACTGTAATTCAACAGTTGCACCACCACACAGAAGGGTTTTTTTTTTTTTTTTTTAAAGCTATTTGCCAGTTTTGAAAGAAATTACCTTTTGTTGACACTAATGAGGAAATGTAAAACTATGTGAAGGGGCTGGTCGTTCTAAGACATTCTGTACAACAGTTACAGCCCAGACTTTGTGATGTTTTCAGGCCTTTCTTCACAAATTCATTGTCCAGTGAAGGTGAAGTTCCGAAACAAATGAATCAATTTCTTATATTGGGTTCACATTTTTTCCAGTCTGTCTTAAAACACTTGTCAGCAGGTTGTGCTTGGAAACATTCACTTATACTCAAGGATGAACGGATAGGAATTTGGTGGTCAGAGGTTCAAAGGTCAAGATCACTGTGACCTCACATAACTCAAAAATGTTTATGCTAATTAGGACACAATTTATCACAAATATCTTAAATGAAATAAAATGATGAAGTGACATATCATATCCAAATGGTCAAAGGTCAGCTTCACTGTGACAACAGCTTGTCTTTTTCTATCAATTAAAGTCTATTTTCAGCTTGTTGTATTCCTTCAGCTAGTTTATGCAAAATATTCAAACAAAAAGATACACATTTCCCCCAAATTAAGCCTATTGTATTTGATATCTCTCCAAATATTTGGTTCTCTGCTAGAATTTAAAATAAAGTTCTGCAAGTTTGAATAATGTTTGGCTTCACATGGTGAGTTTGTAGCTGACCTACCGGTGGGTCAGCGAGAGATACATAAAAGCAAGGAAAAAGAGCCTTTATAATACCAAAAAATTTGTTTGAGCTCCATGGAAACATAATACAATTATGCACTCAGATTTTCTATCTTACACACAGAAATGCAAAGAGGAATAGGCGTGCTGCTCTTAAGGGCAACATGCTTATGAAAATGTAACGCGTGAAGCTGCTACTGTGTGTGCGAGATTCAGAATGCATGTTTACAATTATATACATGTTTCCAGAATACCAAACTTCCTATCAAGTGACCTTTTCTGTCTTTTTCCTTCTGTTTCTGGCCCTGCTCGTGTGCATTTGGGTGTGTGTGTGTGTGTGTGTGTAAGTGTGATTAATACCCCAGGAGATGGTGTGACATTTGATTTGGCGTGGCGTGGCTGGGGGAAGCGTTTACTCAGCACAAACGTAAATCCACCTCACTGATAGAGTGAAGGGGATGATGAAAAACACCAGTGACCCTGACGACGGAGCCAAAATGGAAAGTCTGACGCTACATACACAAATGCAAATTCAGTTAATTCCAATTTATTAAAAATGGTCAATTCAAATAAATAAAATATGGATATTTGCTTTTTCGAGCATAAATAAAACAATTTTGTATGTCTAATCTAATATGCTCTAAATATCCATATAATGGAAATCAAGTTTTAAAGTTCATTCATTTAAAGTTCATGCTTTATTTTACAGCACTACAGGTTGTTGATGCAGCCCATACACTTAAACATTAACATGTTTTTTTCGTTCACTTTTTATGGATTTAGTAGATATTTGCAGTATGTATGTATTGCATATTTTCAAGTCATATTTCAATCTTATCACCTAACCACTTATTCCTGTAAAATGGACAGGCAAACATACCTGATGGGACAAAGATCAGCTTAGAGGGCATTACTGTTCAGAGAAATCCACATACGAGCACAGCCATGAAAAATATATCTTTTTCCATCGCTCAAACCAACCAAGCCAAGCCTGTGTTTCAAGCAGGCCAGTTGACAGTCAGCTGAGAGCCTCCTCCGCCTCCCCCTCAGTCCTTCAGCGTCTTGCGGCCGCGGCAGCCTCTTTGTCACTTTGTTTGTGATTTATTCATAGATGCACCAGGGAGAGAAAGATCAATAGTTTCTGAAAGAAAAATGAGTTAGCGTCAGGCCACTAAGCAGGGAGGAAGAAGAGAGAAGTTCACCATGAGTTCAGAGGGGATGTGAACGTTGAGGAGGCCATGCCTGGAATCTGCTGCTCACTTCACTCTACAGCGGTGCCGGGCTACTAACAGCAGTAATTAAAAAAGTAACATTATCAGCTCTAATTATGACTCCCTGGGAGCAGTAATTTGTCACATTATGTTTCTGTTACACCTTGAAAATTGGCTGTTGGCATCCAGCAACATGAGTCTGTTTCTTCCTCTGTGAAAACTGCTGGCGGTGACGGGGATTAGAGAGTGATTTATTTGCATTCCTGGCTTGCTAGTTTGCAAATGTCAGCAAACAGGACAAGTTATTGAAGTGGAGCTGCTGGCAAGCTAACGCAACAGGGTACAAAGCTAACATAATACTGGCATGGCTAACATTACAATTATATGTTGGCTGAATGAAAAACAGAAACAGAAAAACCCTGCTGTTAGCCTACTGTTAGCTTTAGCACATTATTTACATTTACACATTATTCCTAGATGGTTACCTCATTGCTAATCTTGTTGACACACTCAAAAATCGAAATTCAACCTAGATAGGCTATGCTTCATTACGTATTTATATTGGTTTATATACATTAATATAATAAGTAGAATTTTGCAAACAAATACCCCATTTTCAATAAGCTCAAAAGATTGCATTGTTCTTAATCATAGATATTCTGCTAGCAATAGTGGAGATATAGTTGTCAAAAGCTTCCAATATCTTCGACTCTGATACTCTGATACTTGGGTGCCGACACTTCCTGCTCATGCTATGTATGACGTGAACATAGCATTAACTACCAACGTGCTAATGTGCGCTAACAGGATATAATGCTAACACAGGCAGGGCTAAGCTACCAACTGTCTAATGTTAGCTAACATGGCACAAAGCTAATATTGATGAGGCTAGCTTTTGGGAAATGTCAGCTAATAGGGCACAAAGCGATCATAACAACAGTGTCTGCTAACAGGGAATGGCGCTAACATGATTAAGGCTAATGACCCAACGTAAACAATCAGGGCATAATAAATATAACTTTACAGAGGCTACTGGATTTACCATGGTTACCAGTTTCCACTTGTAAATAGTGTTCACATCAACAGCCAAATGTACGACTGAGAAAGTCAAACTATCTGACTTGGCACTAAAAAGTATGGTTGGTGTTTTATTTATGGGTAATTAAACGCTGAGATTTTTTAAAAATTCTTTATTTTGCGGAAGCAGTTTATATTACAAATCATACAATAGGAAATTATACCTTAATCTCTTATGCCGTCCACAGTTTTCCAAAATTTAAGAACTTTGTACAGTTTGGGAGAGGTAAAGTGTGCACACAGGAACAAAGGAAAGCATATGTCAGGGGCACCTGGAAGAAAATATAATAAACTAAGTAAAATAAAATAAACAACGAGGTCAGAGAAAAAACAAACAAACAATCAAAACATTACAGAGTCAATCATTCAATACTTCCACAAAATTTGCCCTTATGGGCCTTACACATTTGATCCATTTCAACCCTCAGATGTCCAACTCTGCAGTAAAGAAACCATCACTCAATGTTAATGTCAAATTACACTCTTAGAGTAAAGTAGCCATAGTGTTCTTAGCAGACAATTTGCTGGCTAGTTAGTAAGATGTTCTTTGAAGAAACATAGTTAATGTTTGTATCTTTAAATTTTGTTTTGTCGATTGATTGAGAAAGCTGGAATCTATTGAGAGAGAAGCAGTGTCTCAAGAGGCCTGACAGCTGCTATCTTGATTCGTCCACTGACATGAACGCTTGGAAGTTGTAAACATGGGAATCTTTCCGAGAGTTACCTTTCCTCACACATGACTTGAACATGTCATAATGGTAAACGTCAAAGCTAACATAACGTATGAGTGAGAGTTTTTATTGGATTGATCATTTAAAAATCGTTTCCCTTGGAGGTTTAATCAAGGAATTGGTGTTTTATGTTTTTGTGTTAATTTGAGTCACCCTCTGACTCCCAGGGCTATCCAATTTGCATGTATTAAGATGAAAAATGCTAATGATATTCTTATTTAAACCAGCTGTGGATTACAAGTGGGGATCCCCTATGGGTGGATTGCACACCAGAGAAGGGTAT